ATATATATATATATATATATATATATATATAAAGTAAATCTCACCAAATATCTTGCAGCAGCTACTCACATACTTATTCATAAAGCCCAATCGAGCTCAATAAAACTTTTGAGACTTTCTTATAATAAGGTACACGTTATGAGTTCAAAGTTCAAACGTCTATATCTCAAATCATGATATCAACCCATGGTGGTTTTTGTTTGACCATTTTTGAGGTGGTCATTGAATTGTGTCATAGTCCAAGTAAAGTGGGATTTTGGGGAATCTTGTAAATAAAAGCAGCATAATCAATAAAAATGATTGTATATGATTAAAAAAAAAAAAAAAAAAAAAAAAAACCATATATGTAATTTGACCATATACAGTTAAATATGTTATGGTTAAGTGTAAAGAACATACCATGTTAGACAAGTAATTGAATGCATATTACCATCGTTCAAACCATGTTAGCATTATACACAAACGTGTTAGCAAAAAATAGTAGACAAAATTGCAAAAATGGTCCATGTGGTATGCATTTTTTGGGGGTTTTGGTCCAAACGACGAGTTTTTTGGGTTGGTGTTCCTTTTGACTATGTTTGTTTGTGATTTTGGTCCCTCGGAAAACTGAAAAAGACTAAAATGCCCTTTCTGATATATTTTTATATTTTTTCTATTTAATTTAAAGGAAAAAGAAATAAATAACTAATTTGGGCCCACATCTCTCTCTCCTCTCTCTCTCTATCTCTCTCTCTCTCTCTCTGAAAGTCAGTGAATAAAAAAAGAAACTGCAAAATTTCTTTTCCCTCCAGATCAAATAGTGATATACACTAAAATGAATTTAAAAAAAATCTTCCTAAACCCATTCACCACCTTCACCTTCACCTCCATGTTTAGAGTTAGTGGTTATAAAAGAAACCTGCATTCTCATCATTAACATCACCACTACATCATCACCCCTGCACCACCATTACCCCTGTCATAGACCCACCACCGGTGACCTTTGACCACCGTGAACCACCCTCAATCACCCACCCTTCACGTTATTTTTCTTCTTCTTCTGTTCCTTTCCTTCTTACACTGTCAAGCACAACCACCACCAAGAAAGGGTGGTGATGTTGTTGTAGTTGTGTCATCGAGAACCACCAGGAGCCGGCACCAGCCTCCACCATTTGTTTTTCCCTTGGGCTGCCAATGCAAACCACCACCACCCACTACAATTGTTGCTGTCGGAAACACCTTCCCCGGCCTCCCTCTCATCCCCAACTCATAGTTTCCGTAGAGCAGGAGCAAGAACAAAACGACAGGAGGTCGCCGGAGCTCCATTACCCGCCTGCAATGCTAGCCCACTCTACCGTCACCACCCGCTCCCAACTTGGTCGCTGCCACTGTGAGGACTCAAACCATCGCCAACCACTGATTTCGATCACCCACCAACTCCTCCTTCCTCCCTTGTGTCATTCCCGTCAAGTGTAAGTCGAAAACGAAGCATCGAAATCCGTCGGAGTAGCCTTCGCCACTACGTCGCCGCTGCTGTGGAACACCGCCTCCGATAGCTGCTACTTCCGCCGACCATCTCCGACCGGCCCGTTGAGTGTAAGTCGAAAACGAAGCAGCAAAAGGGGTCAGTATTTTAAGAGATGAGTATAAAGGTAGAGAGAGAGAGAGGGCCCACTTTTATATTTATTAATAATAACAATTTTAAAAAGTAAAGGAAAAATGAAAACTAAATTCATTAAGGGTATAATGGTCATTTTAGTTTGGACAGGGACCAAAACTGCAAGCAAACTAGCTCAAAATGACCACCAACCCAAAAAACTCGTGGTTTGGACCAAAACCCCAAAAAAATGCATACCACAGGGACCATTTTTGCAATTTTGTCAAAATAGGAAACGTTGTTTTTGGATGTTTGCACCTAAGGGTGAGCATTTGGACCGGTGGACCGGACCGGACCGGACCGGTGAACCGGGCCGGACCGAACCGGACCGTTTTTTTGGACCCCCGGGCCGGTTCTCGGTTCTAGGAATCCATCAAAACCGGTCCGGTTTTTTTCCTGGTCCGGTCCGGTTTTTACTGGGTTTAGAACCGGTTGGTCCCGATTTAAAAAAAAAATTGTAAACTTTAAACAACCATAACTCATTCGTTTTATGTCGGATTGACACGTGGTTTTTTCCAACGTTTAATTTACAGTTTGTAGAAGAATTTAGACTATAATTTTGTTGATTTTGCTATTATATTCAATGAGTTACAGTCTTTCAAAGTTGAGCTATCAAAGCTGAAAAATTCCAGCTTTTCAGCAACGTTTTTAAAATTTTGTAATCTGTGAAAATTTTTAAACAACCATAACTCATTCGTTTTAAATCGGATTGACACATGGTTTTTTCCAACGTTTAATTTACAGTTTGTAGATGAATTTAGACTATAATTTTGTTGATTTTGGTATTATATTCAATGAGTTACAGTCTTTCAAAGTTGAGCTATCAAAGCTGAAAAATTTCAGCTTTTCAGCAAGATTTTTAAAATTTTGTAATCTGTGAAATTTTTTAAACAACCACAACTCATTCGTTTTAAGTCGGATTGACCTGCGGCTTTTTCCAACATTTAGTTTACAGTTTATAGATGAATTTTGACTATAATTTTGTTGATTTTGGTATTATATTCAGTGAGTTACAATCCTTCAAAGTTGAGCTATTAAAGTTGAAATATTTCAACTTTTTAACTATTATTTTAGACTATAATTCTGAATTTTATGTATCTTTGACAGATAAATCATATGAAAGAGATCTTGGTGAACTTGATTTATATGTTAGTTGCTTTTATTTGGAAAATTAATTTTGTAAGTTATAATATTATAACATCAAGGTAGATTAGTTATGCATGAAACGAAAACGTAATCATTTTTACAAGTTGTATCGTATCAAACCCAATAACGTATACGTTTTAACGAGTTTTATCAAACCCAAAAATTTATTTTAACGACTTGTACTCTATGCAATTAAAGTTGTACCGGTCCAAACGGGTCCAAGAACCGGAAAACCCGGACCTGGACCCGGACCCGGACACGGACACGGACACGACTCATCCGGTCCGGTCCACGGTCCACAATATTCTCCATAACCGGTCCGGTCCAAGAGCCGGTCCGGTCCGGTTCGGTCAAATGCTCACCCCTATTTGCACCAATCGGTCCAAGAACCATTACAGAATAAATAAATTACTACTTATGTAAAAAAAAATAAAGAAATATGATCATACTTAAACATAACATATCATTTATGAATGTCAAATATTTTACTGTTAGGGTAAATATATAGAGATCACATATATGTTCATATTTATATATACAATTGTATAAAATTATCCCATGTTATTTGAACCAAATACTGATGTTTGGAATCGATAAAAGGTACGACCTATCATAATCAAAATATGGTGAACAGTTTACGCCTTAAAATGAATATGAGCACATATGAATATGAGCACATATGAATATGCAAATTTTAGTCTTTTAGATGCTAGCTTGCATCGTTTACATTGAAATAGTTGTATTCGTTATGATAAAAGTAATACGGGTTTTATTACAATTTAAATCCAAGATTTTAAATCAACGTCCTATATTATTTTTTTACTTTAGATGTTAAAATGTTATCATCGTTATAGTTATTGCATTTTTTTATTAAATTATTAGGATAAGTTCCATTAACAAAAGATATTTATCTACTCTAATAAATAAAAGTTTTTTTTTTGTCATATTACACTCTCATTCAATTTGTCAAATGTCATTTTATGGTTATTTTAAATTAATTTTTTTTTCCACATGTCATTTGATTAGTTTTTCTATTTTAATAAATTCTGCATAATATTTTAATATAATAACTACAATAAATATAGTAATAAATGAATATCAATTTCATTAATGGACTTTCTTCTTATTTCAAAATTCTCAAATTAAAGTTCATTAGTTTATTTTGTTTATTTATTTAAATACAAAAGATAAAAAAAATCAATGTTAATATTTCATTATTTTTTTTATTTTTTTTTATAAATCCAAAGTTCTTATATATATATATATATATATATATATATATATATATATATATATATATATATATTAATTAATTAATTAACTCATGTAATACATGAGTCTTATAAACTGTTAAATTAGATATATGTCATTCTAAAACTATTAAATTTACATATATATATCCAAATTTATATTTGGTAAAAAATTAAACTAATATAGTATTATAAAATATATCTAAAATTCAAAATTTAATATGATCTTACTAAAATATTCTTTCTAAATAAAAAAATTAAATTTAAATAATTTTAATTATGATTAGATTAATTAAGGACGTGATATCCTCTAATCGCAGAAATCATTGTGCAGAGTCGACTTCTTCATCATACATGTTCTTCATCGTAGTAACTAATCAAGTTTGTCTTTTATAACTTACACATGACTCTTTTTCCTCATTTGATTAATTTCGATTCTATATTTGATATGTCTTTGCATTTTATTAACTGTGATTTTGCATTTGTTTAATTTTTCTTCTCATCATCTTATAATCGCATAAGGGTATCTGTGTTTGTATATAATTAATTTTAATGGATGATGAGATTAATACACCGACATAGGAGATAAGTGTTCACTCTTCGATAATTGAATAAGTTCTTACAAGCAAGATGAATGATACTTTATGTTTCCCTTCAATTCCATTAATTATTTTTGTTTTCATTGTAGTTGTCAGACAAGTAATATCGAAATACAAGTTTAAACTAAAATATTGAGGCTTTTTTCGGTTAACCAGGAACTCATGTATGCAAGTATACTGTTTCGGCAATAGAAAATCTCTATATATAGACACATGGTCATACAACTTGAATAAACTAATTCAAGAGGTGAAAAAACATTATCCATCACAAAGCGATCTTGTTTTGCAATAGTCTTTGTTCACACGAATTAAAAAGAGCAAAGTTTTATTGAACTTGACTATGATGAGAACTTCATGTTGATGCTTAGCATGTATAAGGAGGAGAAAGAAGTACAAATTTATGCAACGACTGAAAAATTTAGTGAAAATATGTTTAATCCATTTAATTGTCAAGATAAAGTTACTGATGAATATGATGATGAAAATGAGTCAGACTCAACTTGTTCAGGTGAAGAAAGTTATCATATTCATCATAGTTCTGATAATGAATATGACCTTCTAAACTATGATTGTGAAACTTATGAACGTAGCAAAAGTAGTCTAATTATGAAAATAAATTCTAAATTTCCAAATCTGAATGCTTTTAGACGGGATTTGAACCACTATGCACTAACAAATGAATTTCAGTATGTCATTGAGAAAAGTAATTTAACACGACTTACAGCATGTTGTGAAGATAAAAAGTGTGAGTGGAGAATTCATGATTCTCTTACGCAAGATGATGTTGCTTTGGAAGTAAGTATCCAATTTAAGAAATATTACATTTATTGGCATTCTTATTTTGTTAACATAGTTATATGTTTTTATATAACTTTTTAGGTAAAGAAATTTTTAGAAACACAATCTTGTACTCAAAGCAACAAGGTTGGTAACAAACATACGACTCAAGGATGGATTGTTGATGTTGTAACCGACAAGTTGAAATCTGATGGTGATGTCTCTCCTATCGGCCTAAAAATGTGGCTTATGCAAAGCTACAATGTTGACATTCCATATATGAGAGTCTTTAGAGGAAAAGAACAAGCTTATATAGATATGTATGGAAAGTGGGATGACTCTTACACAAATATATATGGTTTCAAACAGGAACTTGAAAAGAGAAATCCATGAAGTGTTGTGGAGATTGATATGCATACACAGGGTGACAAGAAACATTTCTTACTGTTTTTTATATCATTAAATGCATGTTCTAATATTAGTTTTCTTATGTTATTTTATCATGTAAAACTTGGGTGACTTTCAAGTTTTTATAAACAGTGATAATTGAGCATAAGTGAACTATAAGGGAAAACGTTGGGAGGTAATATTAGATGAGAAAAATTATAGTTGTCGAGTTTGGCAAGTTAAAGGCCTTCTGTGTTTGCATGAAACTGCTTTTATTGCTTTCATGAGGGACCCTAATTGGGACAAATATGTTGATATATACTTCACAGTTGATAATTTTAATGAAGCATATGCATTAGAAACTTCTCTGATGCCCAGAAAAGATCAATGGGTGCATATAAAGACGATCGAGAATATATATCCACCCATTATAAAATGGCTTGCTGGACGAACCAAAAAGAAAAGAATTATACTACTTGATGAGCCCAAGAAAAGACATAGATGTCCACGTTGTGGTATGTATGGGCACCATGAAAGGACTTGCAAAAATCTTGCACTTCAAGGTTTTAGTGATGCATCCACTAGCAAGAAGAAAGAACACAAAAGATCATGAATTTTTGTTAAGAGTTTGATTTAGTTTTAGGAATTTAATGCTTTAAGTTGGATTGTTTAATACTTTAATTTTTTTTGTTTGGAAAGATCTGTCATGGGAGAGAATCATTAAAATTTTGATTAATTATTTACATTTATTTTGGGACCATTCGGTAATGTTTTCGTCTATGTAGGGACCATTTCTATAATGTTTTTTTTTCATATGGACCAATTATGTATTCATTTTCTGCCACATGGACCAACTGTGTAACTGTTTTTCTGTAAAAGGACCAATCTGTATTGTTTTACTGCACAAAGACCATTCTGTAATGTTTTTCTAAAGGGAAAATGACATATACGCCCTATAAACTTTTTAGGGTTAACTCTTTTAGTCACTTAACTTTTTAAGTGCCTTTATGAGGGAACAAACTCGTGGTCTACCTGTCTTTTTATTCCTCTTGACTTGCTATAACCGGTTTGAGTGCCACATACCCAAAACTTGGGCCCCTCCCTTATTCTTCCTGCTGAGCAACACCACTACAAACAGTGAGATGCTTCTACCCTCAAACACCAGATCGGCCATGACGATGGCCAAATCGAAGTTGAAGGCCACCAGAAATCGACCTCCCCACCTCCTTCTGTCGGTCTTTGCAGCCTTCCCATCACCGATCTGCCTCTTTCCCCTTCGTATTCCTGCTGTTCGGACCGAAAGGCAACAATCTAGAGGTCACCAGAAATCGGTTTCTGTCCCACCCTCCACCTTACCGGTCGACTTCAAAGACAAACACCCCCTCTGAAGCCGATGATCCGCCTTGGCCCTTTTCCTTTCACGTTTTCTGCTAGACAAATGAGACAAACGAGAGCATGGTCTAATTTCCTTGAGATTTGATTTTGCGATGAATAGGGTTTGATGGAGTGAGGGCTAGTCAAAAGCACCGCCATCAAAAAAGCCTCCTTGAACTCTCCAAATTAAAGAACTCAAACAGATCACAGTTGGTGATGTGGCAAGTTTGGTCAACAAATTGGAAAAATTCAAAGTCAACTTAGGGGAAGTGGTCAACAAATGCCAATGTGGCAAAGGGGTAACCGGGTGACCCCTTCACTTTGGCCAAAAGGACTTAATCGACCCGACAAAAAGGACTTGGTTCCCTCATAAAGTCATATAAATAGTTTAGGGACTAAAAGAGTAAACCCTAGAAACTTCATAGGACGTATGTGTCATTTTCCCTTTTCTAAAACATGGACCATTTTGTAATGTTTTTCTGCATATAAACCATCACTGTAAAGTTTTTTTTTGCCATAAGGACCAATTATGTAATGTTTTTGTGCATAGGGACTATTTTTGTCAAGTTTCTTTTGCCATAGGGACCATTACTATAAATTTGTTTTGCCATGGGGACTAGTTTTGTAATATTTTTTTATGCATATGAGACCATTTATGTCTAGTTTTTTTGCCATAGGGACCATTACTGTATAGTTGTTTTGCCAAAGGGACCAATTCTGTAATGTTTTTGTGCATGTAGACCATTTTGTCAAGTTTTTTTGCCATATGGACCATCTCTGTAATGTTAGTATGCTATAGGGACCAATTATGTAATGTTTTTGTATAGAGGGACCATTTCTATCAAGTTTATTTTTCCATAGGGACCATTATTGTAAATGTCACATGGACCAATTATGTAATGTTTTTGTGCATAAAGACCATTTATGTCAAGTTTTTTTTCTAGAGGGACTATCTTTGTAATATTTTTGTGCCATAAGGAGCAATTCTTTAACTTTGTTCTTGCAACAAGGACCATTAGTACGTTTCTATTTCTTATATAAAAAAATGTAAGTACGTTATTATTTTTATAAATACTCGCCTTAAATAAATGACACTGGTTGACAATAGATGAATGTATAAAAAGAATGTAAAAAGAGTGCAAATATATGTTGCGAAAATAGAAGTGTTGACTCGCTAATAATCTAGTTTTTTCAATTAGATTAGAGATCAAGAATGTAGATCTACAAGAGGTTATTCATCTAAAACCATTATTTAAGAATAAAAAAATGGATAAGTTCAATATCTCATTTCTATTTTGCACATTCCAACTGAATTTGATCTGAATTTGTTTCCATGGCTTCACTGTACTGTTTATAACACGATAAGACAAAAAAAATGTACATCTACATACAACTACACAAACCAAACCTAATATCTCTAAGTTGTATGTTATGAAACCAACATAAGCATCATGCCCAAAAACAAAAGATTTGACCGGAGGGAGTGGCCCTATGATTATAGCTAGAAGATAATCTATTATTTGAGGCTGAAAAATGTTATGACTTGGAGTCTTTTATGTATACTATCCATCTCAAAACTTCCAAATTTTGGTGACTTCAAGACACGACTGCCACCATCTTCTCAATCATACTCTTGTCCATTTTTTAGCTACAAATTTGAATTCAAAATTTCACCCCCTTTACATTTCATGTGAGTTGGACCTTCCCATGAGACATCATCAACTTCATTTTCGTTTCCCATGTCTCTTCTTCTCTGGAGAACACATATTGTTATGTTGGCTCTATAATGTTTCTTTTAGACATTTTGTAAAACATCTAATGTGCAAAAATAAATAAACATGAATACATAGAATCAAGTAAGCATGATAATACCCAGGTAAAGATGCAATAGTATAATTCATGGCACCAATCAATACCATCAATTCATTTATAGTTCTAAAACACATAAATGAAAGAAATTTATCAAAAAAATATTAAAAATGTGAAGAAACTACCTAAAACCTAGTTAGGAGGGACACAATAGAATCGATGGCAGAATTTATGTTTAATCTCTAATAATTATATTAATTTTCATATAAAATGAAATCGATTATCAACCGTCTAAATAATGAAAATTAACCACTTAAAATCGATGCCCCTCACTGCCATATAAAGATTATAGAAGAAAGCCAATCCAAGAGGTTGAAATCCATAAAAGCAGCGACTGAATTGTGGTCGAAGGTTTGAAGGAGAAGGAGTGGTGGATACTGGATAAAGGTAAATGAGATCATGAAATTATGGAAATGGGAGATTTGTAACTAATGAAAATTGGTAGAGAACTTCTTTGTTTGTTAAATATTTTGTGTAATAGCCGACTGTTATTAACCCCACAAACCTGAGTAGTCGATTTTTTGCAGATTGATATTTTCCCTCAGGAAGAAACATTGCAGGCAATATCATCATTTTCTAATCAGATTTATTCATAATTAAAATGGTTTCTTTTATTTAGAAGGGGTATTTTAGTAACATCATATATATATATATATATATATATATATATATATATAATGTTATATTATTTTAATTTTAATTAAAAAATAATTTTGGATATATACGTAAATATCATAGTTTTATAATGACATATATATAACTTAAAATTTTATAAGGATATTAACGTAATATTTAAAGTTTAAAAGGAGTATAACGAAATAGTAGTTAAAAACATCTAAACAGATAAAAATGTTGCTTAATATTATGGATTTGAAGTTTGAAATGAATTAATAATTGATATTGTTGCCAAATATAATAGAAAAATAGTTTATATGTTTTCTAATATTCGGGAAATAATTTACATGGAAATAATATATATATATATATATATATATATATATATATATATATATAATGTGAATGGTAATGTAATACGAGATATGATTATGTATAGATTATTTAATATAAAACTTATAAAAAACTATAAAAACTCTATGGTGAAGTTGTTTTATTATGACTCATTTTGCAGTGTCTCAATTTTCACAATAATTTTTTTTATTTTTAAATAAGATAAATACTCGTTTTCATAAAATCATTATCAAGATAAAGCCACTTGTTCATTAAATCATAATCCAAAATCCAAGATTAGAGTATAAATAAAAATCATTGCGGAAGTTTCAAAACATAAAAGTTTTTGATGTGTGAAGTTGTAAAATCATTATTTAATATAAAACTTATAAAAAACTGTAAAAACTCTATGGTGAAGTTGTTTTATTATGACTCATTTTGCAGTGTCTCAATTTTCACAATAATTTTTTTTATTTTTAAATAAGATAAATACTCGTTTTCATAAAATCATTATCAAGATAAAGCCACTTGTTCATTAAATCATAATCCAAAATCCAAGATTAGAGTATAAATAAAAATCATTGCGGAAGTTTTAAAACATAAAAGTTTTTGATGTGTGCGTACAGTTACGTCTTCGCCTTCCTCCATCAGAGGATGTACCTAAAAACATTTAATCCACAATTGTAATCCAAAACTTAGTGAATTTATGCTAGTGTCTTAGTGGATATGCTTTCCAATTTTATCCATTGAGATACAACCATAGATCATAAAATGTCCAAAAACTCATCTTTCTTCTTGCATTGAGTAAAGAGAGT